ATTTCAAATACTTTGAATGTCTCTCTTTTATTCATGAGCTGACCTGAACACTTTGTTATAGGACGAATGTCGGCTAGAAAACCCGAACTACCCAAATGCGTGAGAGAATTCATAGAAGGCAGTGTGTTTGAGCCCAGTAAGTTCCTGTGCCTGGAGGAATGCTTGAAATACACGAGGGTTTGGAATGAAATCCAATTCGCATTCAAGAACGTCTATGCAAGTCCAGAATTCCCAAATGTTACCACAGACATGAGGTATTTGTTTTTATTAGTTACGCTCAAAATTGTCTTTTTTTCTACACCTTTGTGCATTATGCTATCAACTGAGTTTCTTGGTAATATTTATTACAAGTCCATTTTATGAGAAATAGCCAGTTGACAAAATTAGAGGGCATGATGACAAAATTAAAATAAAAATTGCAAAAAAATTGGCAAAATTTTTTTTAGTCAAGAGCGATTGAGTTCAGTGAAAAACTGCAAGATTAAAAAATGACAATTGCTTAAATAATTACTCACTTGTAGAATTAAAATTAACAGGTCAGCTTCTCACTTTTGTCTTATTCAGTTTAAAAATCACAAATTTTTGCACCAGTTTTTTTCACGGTGACAGGACTTTTTTTAGTATCCGAATCACGACCAATAAGTCTTTCATATGATAGCACATTTGATCCTCAACAAGTTTTCCTTTTTGAAGTAGTCAAATAGCTGAAGAAAGTTTAAAAAAATGGAATCTCGCAATAATTAATGCTTCGAAAGTGACCGAAACAATAAATCCAATGTTTACTTTTTGTTGAGTTGAGACAACTTCAATTGCGATTTATATATTATTGCATCATCACAAAATATTTTGCATCATAAAGAAATATGATTGCATCAGAATTGCAATAAACAACATTTTCTTGACAGGAAAATCTGATCCAAGATTGTGGAAATCTTTAGAAAAAGTAACGAAAACAGTAAAACTCGCACAAATGTAAAACGTTAGAACATTATCATCAATCAGGTTTACTTCAAAAAAAATGAAATGAAAAACTGGATTCTGAAAATGTCAGCAGTAAAACCCTTTTGATCAATCACAGGGCCAGCTCGTGCAACTCTAAATTCTGGCGTAGAATCCTAAATGCCCTTGAACTCTGCGAGTTTTCTTGTAGAATCCTCATTTCGGTCAAAAAAACTCGGCCTGTTTTCATTGTTTCTTTTCTTCTGGGGTGATCCGAAGTTAATCTTGTGATGTCATTAAGCAACGTCAAAAATAAACGAAAGTTTTTTCTCATACTGGACGTCAAAATTGCCAGAAAATCTTTAGTTTTTGTCTAATTTATTCGTTCTAAAGTTGAAAAGTTTGTCTTAAACCTATAATGTTAATAAAGTCTTGTTTTACTAAACTACTCAGATACAAATACGTACAATAAGTTAAAAGACTAAAAAGATAAGAAATTGAGTTTAATTTAAAAGGTTATTCTCAGACTAGTTTCAAACAGTGATGCATATAGACCGAAAATCGATGCTCAGCATAAAACTGACAGGTATCTAATCAATACCGAAGGTCATTTGATCTAAGTAACAAAACAAATCACGTAAGTTTTTTTTTTATAACTTAGTTCATACTGCAGCACAGTAGCAGATTCAAAGCTGGAATCTGCCAATTTTAGATTGAAACGTTCTAAAAAAAGCATGAAGACGTCTTTTTTGCCTGTTCTTTTTTAAAATCATTTCGGCGAAGAAGTTTTGGTCAAAATAATTTCTTTTTAGTGATATGGAAGAGCTCAGAAAACCAATTTGTTTGATCTCAGTAAAAGTCGATTTATTTTTGAAAAATTTTGAAAAACCACCCTAACTCTCGAGAAAATCCTAGAGCGACAGTTTGGTAAGTTTCGTGTCGACAACCAAAGAGAGAAAATTAGAGAGAATTTTTGCGAGAGAGAGAGAGAGAGAGAGAGAGAGAGAGCAAATGAGAGAGAAGGGAAAAGTAGGCAAGAGAAAAACGAAAGAGAAGCAGGAACAGGAGAGAAAAAGAGAGAACGAAGAGACGAAACAAAACATTTGCTTTTGTGCAGCGAGCAGCCAAAACGAGCCTACCTGTTCAAGTTCTTGCTATTGGCTGGACTTCCAGTTCCCATTCTTTCATTCGCAGCGGAATAGAACCTATCCTAGTCCCTCACTGTAGCATATGTCACACCAGAATTTTAGTCAATAAAGAGTATGGTGCCACTTTGGAGGCTGGATACACTAAACACTAAAATGCTCCACCCTTAAACATATAAGCCAATGGTCACGCAGTTTTTACTGTGGGTAATGTAACTACTGTAAAATTTACCTCACTGACTCCCTCAACAAACAACAACAACCACCGCCACCGAAAAATGAGCATCAAACTAAAGTTCTACAACTCAATACAATCCAATCCGCCTAGGACCTAAATTGGACAATATTATTCACCGCATGGCAAAAACTGACACCAAAAATGCAGCAATACAAAAGACATTTTTAACTTATGAATCCAAGCCCTCACATGGATACCAAATTGTTGCTCAAAACCGACCTAGCAACCGCGGCAGAGAAGGCGGACTTGCATTTATTATCAAGGATATCGAACACCAAACTCTTAAACTTCCCCAATTTGACCCCCACATAAAAGCAATTAAATTAGTAACCAACACATCCAACCTTACACTTTATAACACGTACATCCCGCCACATTCAAGTTTTAATCCTGGATAAACTGCGTCTCTCTTAAACCTACTAACGAACACATGCAATAATATTAGGTCATAATAAGGCACATAATGTTCTGTGATTCTCCGAATTAAAACCTGCCTCGTGCGAAATCTGCAGAAGAAATTGATGTCTCCGACTTCGTTCTACTCAACGAAATAACACGCACTAGGAAAATAAATAACTTTGTTAGCTCACCTAATATTAGTTTAGCAACATCAAATTTTGCAATAACCACAAGTTGGTTTTATAGCAAAATACTTGGGTCTGATTGTTCTGCCATTACCGTGGAAATCACATGTGAAATTCAAACAGTTAAAGCATCCAAAACTTACATGATTCTTAGGGAAGCGAACTGGAAAATTTTTCAAACTGAGAGCGAAAAAGCCTTTTGAAAGAAAAATACCACTGCCCAAATCAGCCATGGGAGGCGAAAAAGTTTTTCGGAAATTTAATTGCGGCGTGGCTCTTAGATATATACCTCACTGAAGGTTTAAAAAGGTAAGACCCAATTTTTCAACAGAAGCTCTTAAATTTCCACAAGAAAGGGAATATCTCAAACAACCGTGCGTGGATCCTCCAAAATAAGTAAACTAAATTGGACAATTGTAACAAAAAGGCTAAATGGATTGTCTTTCTTGGAAATGTTGACAATTGAGGTGTAAAAAATAAACTCTGGTCTACAGTCAAAGGACTATCAATCACCACTGCCAAAACACCTAGAATTACGCCCATACTTGTCGATGATGAACCAATTCTCAACACCGAAAAAAACTTGTAAACAGTTCAACCAACAATTCACCCCTCGCCAAAGACAAAAAGGCCGGTTTTACGTAAGATAATGCAACTAGATGAATTTAAAGTTTCGACAAAAATGGTGGAAGATACATCTAAGTCCCGTAAGAAAAGTAAAGTGCTCGGACCAGACAACATCGCACCAATACATCTACATTTCATTGGAAAACAAGCTATTGATTTTTCGAGAAAGATAATCAGCTTCTCACTGAGTAATGAAATCATTCCTGAAAACTGGAAAAAAAAACCCTAGCCAAAACAGGAAAAGATACTGAACAAGCTAAGAGCTACAGACCAACTGCATTGATTTTTCTAGGAACAAATTCGTAGAGCGCATTCTTTTACCTGATTTAACTTTAACAAAGATTTTCGTGAAAATTAGCACCGCCTTAGAAAAGAAAGATTAACTAGCACTAGTCTTAACTGCATCTCGTTCTACATCAAAACTGACTTGAACTAGATAAAACCATATCAAAGATTACTAATGGTCGCCTTAGACTTGACTGCAGCCTTCGATACTGTTGATCATCACCATCTTCTCAACGACACTGCCAGCTCGAATCTATCTAATAATACCTAAGAGGGCTTCTTGCCTATCTTCGTGATTGGATTTTTACACACTTATGTAGAAATCAGAGTCATTGAATGCAAACACAGCATTGTGAAACAAGTTGTTCATCAAGATGGTGTGTTTTCCCCGGTCGTTTTGAACGTATGCTGTCTAATTGCCACCACATAAGAAAAAAAGATGAAATTAACAAAATACGGAGATGATATTACCATAACAACACCAAGACCCAACATCAGCCACTTAACGCAGACCATAAATCCATATTTAAAAAACCTCAATACCTGGCTTACAAACAGAAATCTGTCACTCTTAAAAAATAAATTTACATCTATCTTGTTAACTTAATTGCCCATGGTTTCTCGCCGAAGCCTAAAACTTTTCAATAGCGGACCAACTCAGCTTGACGTAGCTGAGATTTTACTTTAACTTTGATTCAACGAAGATATGACTGTATATCAGAGGGAGGGGAACAGCTTATACCTGCTTCATTGTGTATACCAAAACAATGAAGTTGAACATCTTTTATTTAAAAAGAAAAGTCTTGCAAATGTCAATATAACTTCAATGGGTTTTTGGCGTGTGCCTGCAGCGAGTATTCAATGCTAGCATTACAATACAAGAACTCTAAAACGTTGTATCGCAATATTCGCAATTTTTTTACTTGTTGAGTTTGTGATATGAGCCTTGATCCAGTCTCTATCTGTCCAAACCAGAGTCACAAGGCTCACCCAACTGCTGCTTCTTAATGTGGATCAATTTTACAAGCTGTTTTGAAAATTTGGATAATTCGATATAAAATTACATTACATAAAAATAGGATTAATCCCGCGTAGATTAAATCAAACATTTGAAACAATCTTTGTTGGTTTAAATCAGTTTTTTGGCGGTTAATAATTTCCATTTCGTTTTTCACTCGATTAGGTTGCTTGTTGCAAGCAACAGCCCAATTTGAAAAGAGTTCAACATAGAACCAAATGTTAATTGTCGACGGCACCCAGCTACCTGCCACCCGAAACCAAAAGTTATCGGCGTTACAATCGACAACCAATTTAACTTTAACGAACACTGTGTTAAGCTCTGTGAAAAACTTCCAAAAAAGAAATAACGTTCTGAAAAAGCTTGTCGGCACTAATTAGGGCCGCTCTAAAGAAACTTCAAATATTACTTACAAGTCGATTGGGAGGAGTGTACTAAACTATGGACCACCCGTTTGGACCCTCACTCTGAGCTACACTAACTGGCAACATCTGAGAAAAACAAAGCACTAAGAACAATCACTGGTTGCGTAAAAATGAGCGAAATCACGCATTTGCACGACAAAGCAAAAATTAGTTCCGGCCAGAAATCATAATGAAATGCTCCCCAGACAGTTTTTGCTTAGATGTTTTCGAAAGCACAGAACAGATCACTATAATTTAAATTATAAATGGTTCAACCGAAACATCAGGTCTACCTTTAAACATAGTTTCAAATGCGAAATTGAACTCTTGCTTACGAGCAACCAGGAAAGCATATCTAAGCTTGAATATGTTTGGGGATCAAAATTTTCATGCCACCGAAGTACAAAGTTTCCTCAACGAGAAATCTAAGCTGCTCGGCAGAATTCCGCCAATAATAGCAGCTAATGAAAACAAATTTGAGCGGAAAACCAGATGTACGCCAGCACAATTTAGACCGGGGGATTCAACCCACTTTAATAGTTACTACCATAGATTAAATTACAATGTACCTGACGTCTGCCCAAGTTGCTATATAGGACCGCACACCACTGAACATCTGTTTAATTGCCGGGTACACCCTATCGCACTTACCATCGACAGCCTATGGGAGAACTCCGAAGAAGCTGCCATTCATCTGTACCTTATCACATAACCCCACGTAACGAATTTTCTAGGTTTCCCATTTACTAAAAATTTCCCGCTGGAACTGGGCATGGAGTATCACTGGGTTCTCCGCGCGCCGAAAAACTTGGCCCCTAGAAGGGGTATCATTAACGACAACCAAATCTCCTTCTGAGTGTCCCATGCAGAGAGGAGGCACCAACACAGCCCTGCAGTGATAGATTATACAAGACGACCAACGAAAAATCCCAACTCTCTCTCTCTCTCTCTCTCTCTCTCTCTCTCTCTCTTTATCTCTCAAACAGAATCGATCTCTCCAATTCAAATGAAAGTTCGAAACCGAAATCAGTGTAGCTACAACAACAGCAGAAACTCCTAGACCCGCCCTTGTATAAGGGCTTCAAACAAATGTAAAGGAGGAATTTCACAACTTTTTATCTCAAAAGGGAAGATAAATTGCTCATCTGGTCCATATGGTTTCACTTTACTGCTGATAATTGTTTAAATTATTAATCAAACTTTTTTGAAGCTAAATTTCAATATGCAATTAATATGGACAGAACGGTTAGAAAAAAAGCGCAAATGAATGCTCTCAGATGTAAACATATCTTATGTCTTCTGAATTTCCATTTAATTGAAGACAAAAATTAGCCGTGAATGTTTGAAAAAAAAAAACTAGAAAACTTGATTTGTAGGAGTGTAGGTGATAAGACTACTGTGGGAAAATAAAATTAATATGTTTTTTATTACCCGGGTCGAGATCCCGCTCAAAAACCGCTCAAGATTTGAGCGGTTTGAGCGGTTTTCCAGCAAGATTTGAGCGGTTTGAGCGGTTTGGGCGGTTTGGGCGGTTTTTTTGGAAAAACCGCTCAAACCGCTCAAATCTTGCTTAAAAAACCGCTCAAAAACCGCTCATTTCTTGCGGTGATTTTTGAACGGTTTTTCAAGCAAGATTTGAGCGGTTTTTGAGCAACGTACCCCCCCCCCCCCAAACGTACCCCTCCTCAACGTACCCCCCAACCCACGACGTAACCCCCTCACGTTAAACCATCCCCCCATGAAACCCCCAACCACGACGTGCCCCCTCTCTCTCTAGTTAGGGGACATCTAACTCTAGTAAGGGACATCAACTTTAGTAAGAGGTGAGGGGGGACATCAACTCTAGATAGAGGTGGGGGGGGGGGGTTGGTGTGCGATCTTATAATCGATTATTTTTGTTATTTTGTAGAGACTGACAATAAAAATCTTGACAGTATATTTGTTGTGCATGTCTAAAACATTGAACATATTCAGTAGAACAAATACAGCGAATATTAAGCTTCCAGCAAGTCCGCATAGCCTAACGGATAAGGCGTCTGACTTCGAATCAAAAGATTGCGGGTTCGAATCCCTCTGTGGTCGACTTTTTATTATTAAATCTTGCGCGGTTTTTGAGCGGTTTTTTTAGATAAACCACTCAAAACCGTTCAAGTATTGCGCGGTTTTTGAGCGGTTTTTTTAGATAAACCGTTCAAAAACCGCTCAAACCGCTCATTTTGAAGCAAGATTTTGAGCGTAATTGTCTAAAAAAACCGCTCAAACCGCTCAAATCTTGCTTCAAATTAGGTGAAAAATCTCGACTCGGGTAACCCTTTTAAGGTTTTTTACAGGATTTGTTATTTATATCTCGGGTAACTGGCCAAATTTGCTGTATTTTTAGCCGAGTGATTGCCGGGATCATGATGAATACGGCCACATCTATGTCACGTGTATCTACACAATTAGGTTGGTCGCGTAATTTAGATTTGCGTCATCTGTTGTTTTTGAAAGCAACGATTGGAAATTCATTTTATCCCGATTATTATAGCATCGGCTTAGTTACCAGTAACTTAGAACACTCAACGGTTCAATATCAGCGGGCGACAATTTTTGAAATCATGAAAACGCGCGTACTTTTTTTTATAAGAAGAGTCCTTTTTCTCAAACTTGAACTAAAAAGTTCTCCCACTTGCTTCATCATTGTCGTGAACATTCTCCTTCTAGTGAGCCTTGGAGCTCTGAAAATACGCTAAGAAAATGTACATTTCACGCTTGCTTTTCCTAATTTTGAGTCGCAGAGTACTCGGTACGAGACTTTAATTTGAAATCGCAGAGTATTCTAGAATACCGTAAGTCGCTGACAACTGAGCCGCTTATGATTTCTTAGAAATTGCATATGATGGTGCATATGGTTCCCATGACGTAATCTCATGCTGAACTTTGCGGTAGAAATTCAAAATAGCATATAGGTCTACGGTGGTAGATCAGAAAATCGATGTATCAGAAAACCGAAAACGGGGGGACCAGATTAGTAAACCGAAAGTTCATGATTCAATTACATAATCCCATTGGCTAAAAACTGAGATTTTTACACAATGGCAAATTTTTTCCTCCAAGAAAACTGAATTAAAAATGGAATAAAATGACTCTTCCCATGCCCCCGTAGTTTTTACACTCACGAAACGACTGTACTAGTACGAACCTTCAATTTTTTCCAAGCTGATTCGCAAAGATTGATGTCAATTTTGGGGAACCGTTACCGCTTTTTGATAGCCTGTGCTTTGACTTTTGAATCGTAATAAGTTGATCAACTTTCAACTCAGTTGATGCGCTTCACAGTTGATGCACTTTCAATTCATTAAATGAACCGAAAAAAGTGATTTGTTTCAAACATAACAATGATAAAAACTCGATTGCAAAAATTTTCTAACCTAAGATATCTTGCATTTTTTTGAATTGCATTTTTAATATATAACGTGGCTTTATGCCTTGCGATTTTTGTGGATGCCTTCAATTTGCTATATTCTGAATTGTGATTTGAATCGATTTGTATTTGGTGCCACTTTTGCTGAATGGCGCTGGAAATTTATTAGCATATGTAGCTGCTTCTATTGTGACTAGTGTTTGTCGGTTGTTAAGCTTGCGTGGCTGAGTTGATTTTGAGGGATGCTCAAAATATCTTGATTGCAGTAGGTCGCAGGTTCGAATCCTAACCGTAGCCGACTTATCGCTAATTCGAGGCTTATTTCTATTTTTTCTTATTTCATTTGATAGAGCTGCTTTTTATTCGTATTCTAGCAAATGTTTGCGAAGCGCAGCTTGGCCTCTGTAAAATTATTGTTCTAGCACAGGGAACATTTATTCTATAAATCTTTAATTCCGCAATTGATGTAATTAATGCGTAAATCTGATCTGGTAGTTTACCGACACAAAGCTTAAGTGTACGCACTCCAGATCTACTTATTTTTGAAAGATTTTGATTTTCCATGTACGTGATCAACTGTCTGATCTCAATGATTCTTCGGAAATTAAAACAGTTTCTGAAAAGTTTGATACGAAAAATATTGTATAGTTCAGAACAATGCAAACAACTAAATTGTGCGTCAATTTTTGTAAGCTTTCTGTACATTCAAATAAATGTTTGAGTGGTAGTTGATTGCTGCTTTCTAACGGTCAATTTACACAATTTTTTGTCCATCCATTAAAAATTGGCATTTTAATCATCAATATCAATTTGATTTATAGATGCAAAAGTGATATTAATTGCAACAATTACTAGAGGAGCTGCACTTACTATAGGAGAGTTATTTACTGCAAACAATGAGTTTCAGTAGAATCCATTGGAGGTTTTTATTTTATGGCTCTCGCAGTAAGACAGTAAACTTTTGAAACCTTCAAAATCATACCTTGTTTGTTCAAAAATCTTCGACAAAAAAACTAAAAGTTTATTAAGTTCTTCTGATAAAAGAGGTTCTGCTACCATCTTATTTCAGTGAACGTGATAATTTTGTTTTGTTCAATTAAAATTGCGAAATATTACGTGAAAAGCATAAATTAGAATTTCTTATCCCCATGTCATTCATTGAGTAACAACAATTTGAAAACATTTTGATGACGGAGAAATGAGCTTTTTTATTGATAAAAAAAATTTCTAGCTCAATTTTTACTAATTTGCACCGAGGGTCCACAAGTCATAATTGATGGTTGCCTTTTTTGTGCAATTAATGCTCGACCAATCGAAAAATGGCGTGAAACTTTGTATTTGGATGTTTTTGTTTTTTTTTGCGTAAAATCAGCTACCACATATAATCATTGGGGAGAGAGTTGAGTGATATTTCATATCAAAGCCCTGACAGTCGTGTTTCAAACTACTTAAAAAATATCCCAGTGTTTAGAAAACCGGTTTGAGCAAATAAAGCGAGCAAACAGGCTTATAATAGCTTATTTTAATGGCTTCAAAGCTTAGTATGGCTCAACTTTACTTATGAAAAAATTAATTTTACTCGAGTAGCGTTGCTTTTTTTGAGTATTTGAGCGCGTTCACCAAACAAAAAAACTTCACAAATTCAAAAAATTTCAAAAAAAAGAAAATTTTTTGATTTTTTTTATGATTTTGTTTTCGTTTTTCTAGTCGTTTTTCTACAAATTTTGCTTATCAATATTTGTTTATTTCACTAAGACTGTCGAATATGCCTAATCTCTAATTTTTCCTTCAGCTTTTTTTAAAATCTCACCACGCCGAAAAAACGACACGAACTTGAAGTTTTTTTTGTTGTACTAAGGCAGGAAAATTCTGTGCTACTTGCACAGTAATCGGCGGCCATCTTATTTATTTTGAATACAGAAAATCTAGCAACCTTATTGTTTCAATCAATAAAAATTATCTGGAGATTTTGAAACAAAGATGTTCGGTGGTTGTTCAATAGAACAGAATGTTTCGAATACGTTTATCTTTGGAAAACAAATTTAAAATTGGTTGAACAAAATGTATAAAATGATAAAAAATTTTAGATTTTTTTTTCAGTTTTTCTAATTTTTTTTTTCTATTTTTCCCTTTATTCTCATTTGAGTAATTATTTTTGTAAAAACTTTACGTTTTAAATATTAAAAAAACTGATTTTTTTCCGAGAACTCTTCAGAGAAGAAAAACAATCGCTTAAGGTGGGTTTCATTTTGTTGCAGCCAATTTTAGGTATCCCAAAAAACTCAAAGGGGCCAAAACTGGTATCAGTTCAAATCCTTGCCGTCATTCAAATTCTGTTAAAACTTGTCAGGTGTCAAAAAAAATGGGTGTGACTTAATAGGGTAACAGTTTGTGCTTGAATGCTATCAACAGCGCAGAGCAGATCACCACACTGTAAACTATATTGAATTGAACACGTGCTTACAAACAGCCAGGAGAGCATCTCTAAGCTTGAATATGTTTGCGGGATCAAAACCTTCATACCACCCAAGTACAACGTTTCCTAAAATACCTTCAAATTGGTATAAGAACTAGGTTGCATTAGCTAAAATAGTATGAATTTTAGAGAAGAATTACATAGAACGTTTAGTCTGTTTGTGTAGACTAAAAAACTTAAAAACTACAAAAGTCACACCCATTTTTCCCGACACAGAGAAGTTTTCATCAAAATCTGAATGACGACAAATTGTTTAAACTGTTGCCACTCTTGGTGCCTTGAGTTTTCTTTGGGTTTCATAAAATTGCCTGGAGCAAAATTAAACGTACGTAATCGATAGTTTTTTCCTCTCTTTGAGAAAGGGTCGGAACAGAAAATGTAACGTTTTCACAAAAATGTATTTGTAGAAAAGTCCAGCACAAATGCGAGATCATCAAGCTCAGATATATGTTTTAGGCGATTCTAATACGCTGTCTAAACCCCTGGATGAGTTTTTGAGAGACCCCTTCTGGTTGCTGAGATGCAACCTCACCGGAACCATGGTGCTTTTGACTCCTTTTGAGGTCAACGCACTCTACGATACTCTAACCAAAATGGAACACGCCGTTCTTTTCATGTTCCAACCTTACTATCAAAAACCATCCAAGTCGATCCCGGCTCTGCAAGATCTTCCTGGGTTTTCAATTCCCAAAGGAAACTGCCTGACATTTGCCGACAATGCCCAGTTTGCCGAGCTGAACTTATTTGCAGGAAATCTGTACTTTGAAAACTCGGCACAGGAGCAGTGGATTTGCAGCTATATAGGCAAGAGACAAATCAAAAATCAACATGTTAATTATGCAGGAGTCGAATATTTGCATGAAAATTGTTTACTGTCTAAGAGTTTCCTAAGACATCTTCGAAACAAGTACGAAAAAATATGTTTTTGTTGGTGGGAGAGCTTTGTGGGAAAGCGGAAACAGAAAACTCCGACCACGATAATTCAAGAAAAGAAGTTCAGTAAAAATAGCTGAACTAGCGATGAAATATTAGCTGAATTGAATTGAATCAGCAACTCTGGTCAAAATTTGTCTAACTCAGTCTGAAAACCAAAAGTATTCAGACCAATTTTTCTCGAATTTGAGAAAACTCTTTCAAATGTTCGTTCCGAAATCCGAATCACAACCAAAAGAGCTTTAATATGATACTAGACTTGACCCCACACAAGTTTTCTGTGATGTTGTCAAAATTGGCTCGAAAAAAAACCGAATCTAAACCTCCTGACCTCTCGATTGGTCGGAACAAGCTTAAACTCTTTGCACCCGCGCCACTTATTCGTTTACTTTCGGTTTAATTTTTTGTTACCTATTAATGCACGCTAAAAAACTAACTATCACTATAGATGAACTAACTAAATAAAGACTACTGCTTTCAAAATTAAAAAAATAAACTTGAAGAAATTTCACGTTTTCAAATTCATCGATGTTCGTCCCTCTTTTGCAAGTATTACAGTAAAAGCTTCCCAAAATTTATGAATAAATAAGGCTGCTCGTATGTCAGGGCGAAGCCCTGAAAGTACCGACTGCACTTTGAGACCAATTACAATGTTTTTGGATTAAAAATGACGAAATATTTAAGAGAAAGTTTTTTTTTGATGTTTTTCCGTACAATTTCTTCCCCCACATGATAATGTTAACTCCCAAGACTTGCTTCTATTCAATTTAAATTGCATTAATTCGCTGCTAACGCTTGTCATAAGAAAAGTTGAAATTTGTCTGGAGGAAAAATAACCAACTCGAGCACAAATTTTTCATCACATTCTTTGGAAGTCAAAGCAAAAGCAAATCTTTTGGTCTTTCCTTTAAAATGCATGACGCTTAATACATCCTTCTGTATTTTACGTAGCATTTGGAGGGTTGAAATTAATAAAAAAGGAAACAAAATCTTCTCAGTTTTTTATATCATTCTGTCAAAAAAAATTTTGTTGGCCTTAGAGTGCAATCGAAACATTTATGGCTTCGCTAAATCTAGTTACCGATATACGATCAAAATTTGTTCACTCAAAAAATGTAGTGATTGTCATTAAGGTTGATTGAGGGATTCCATTCACTGAAGGGTTCGATCCAATTGACTAGTAGGATAACATTTTCGATCAATTTTACCCTCCGATTGATCTTAAAATAATTTTATAAAAACATCAGAAGTTATTTGCCCTGTTTTTTTTCTAAAAAAAATCTACAGCACTGAAAATTTTGGACAAATATACTGTGATTCTAGTGCTTTAAGAGCTCAAAATCAGTTCGGTCCATCTGAAAAAAGGTAGAAAATCCTGGATCTACCTCTGGCTAGAAATCAGATTTTTTTTGTATTTGCAGGATACGAGCCACATATGGCAGTATTGTTTAATTTTATATTCTTTAATTTGGAAAGGTTCAAAACGTCTTTATGCGTGCTATATTTATTTAAGATCATTTATCCACGAGGGATAGGACCAACATACGAGCTGTACAGCCCATCTTGGCGAACCGCTGTTGTGCCCCTGCTTAAGAACTACATGCAATTTTTTTTTGGTTATTTTTCTGGGCTGGGTAATGTTGCCTTACCCTCAAGCAACGAGCACGGATCATGGTGGGCCTCGAACATCCGACCTTTCGATTGAGAGGCGGAGACGTAACCACTTCACCACTGCTCCCCTATCACAAACTTGCGAAATATTAGCAAAATTCATGTAGTTTACGATAAATTGTTATAGGTGTATGTTTTACTTACATTAGTTTCGGACTACAATATCTTTCAGATGGTGAAAAAATTTTACGTCAAAAACGCTTAGTTTTCCGCTTTATCCGCTTTGTAAGTAATCCGCTTTTTCTTCGAAAGTTTGTATATTCGATTAATAATTTATATGTACAAGCTACTTGACTGCATGTTTGTTTTTTATTTGAGTTATTTCAATTTGAGAGGGGCAGGTATAATGGGAAAGACCCAAAATTTGTAGGATTGGTCAGCCAAAAAAGGCTGACGTTAAATAGTGTAAATCTAAAAAAAATATCGGACAGATTTGAAAAAAAAATTACTGGCCCTTTTTCCTTTTCTTCCCACCGCTGTTTTTTCAAGTACAATTTTTGTCCGCATTGTCCGATTTTTACAAAAAATGACCTTGTTAAGCCGCGCATCACACCAAAAAATTGTTTCTTGTGCTTTGGGAGACCCGATTGACTTTTCCGTTACACTTTTTTTGGTTGATTTTGATTTTTTTTAGGTCTTCTGCCTCTGCCGCGAACTCCAGAGCAGGAGGAGGCATTCGAACAGAAATTAATCGCCTCTGACGGATTTGTGAGACCAGAGAATAGACGTGGAGTGCCTGGAACTGAGCATTGGAACTGTCCTTTCACCAGAAGTCCTGTGTCCGCCACCCTGGATTTGATCAGCATCCGAAACGTGGACACCTTGTATCCGTCTAGCCACATGTACAGACTCATGTCAAGATGTCATTACAACTTCAAATCATAATTATTCCCGAAAAAATCAACGAAAATGGCAAAAAAAACAAAGCATTGAAAACTCACTGTCGACAGGGGTGGATACAATGTGTGTGTGTGTGGGGGGAGGGGGTTTGTTGAAATGATTTTTGGTACTATTTTACGACATCCATTTTTGACGGGCCAAATGTTTTTCTCTTTCTTAAGACACCAATACAAACCATTTTGGAAGAAAAAGGCTAGCCAAAAGTGCGTTTTTATCAAAAAAAGTTTTCAAAAACCGAGTTTTATGGCTAAAGAGCATTCTTAATTTTTTCAGCAAATAATTTAAACTAGTTTACAAAAATGAAAACTATGATTGTTTTTTGAAGAAACGCTACCCCTCTCGCAAGCAGTCTAGATCCCCCCACCCCAAACCATCGCCAACTCTCGATGCGCTCTATTTCATTTTTATGCATGCAACCACTAAATAAACAAAGTTCATCTTCACCATAACAAAAGTAAATGTGTCCATACTGCTATTTCTGTTATTGTTATAAAAATATACTTGCGTTGTCATCATGAATAATAAATTCTGTTCCCTGATCTGATTTTAGCTCTCTTCATTGCCAGCATTCTTTTCAGAGTTGTCTAGTTAATTTTCTGGACTGGATGAACTCATGTCACCGAAACTTCCCCGGGCTTCGACGTAAACTAACCATAACATATCGAGTTTTTTTAGTTTTACCTTCTATCGATTTTCGTTGATCTCGACTCGATCTAAACATTGATAACAAAAATTACACTGAAACTATTTACCTATTTTTATTAAAAGTGAAACTAAAAATATACTAAAGGTAATGTTACTGGCTTTTAAAGGGCCCGGGTTGACCAAAAATGCTTATCATACAATTCTCATAAATGGGAAATTTCTTTTCATACAATTCCATACGTACAGAAAATTGTATGAAATCTCTATAATACATATTTTCCCATAAATGGAAATTGTATGATTTATTTGAAAAAAAAATTAAGTGAAAAGAAAAGAAGCTAATATTATCGTATCTAGGACTACGTTGCATGCATTTTTCGGAAAATGTTTGTTTGCGTACAAAAGTAGATTTGCGGTTGAAAAGAAAACAAAAAAAATGTTGGGGCAAGTTTTCAAAATTACTACTGAAAAATTTTTGTGTCGTATATGGAAATTGTATGGTAAGCAGTTTTTTCAAAAAAATTTCAAAGCAGTTTTTTTGTTACCACTCTGTTCAACTGTTCTCAAAAAGTCGCAGAAATGGTTTAATTTTTTTTCCATTGCTTTTCGAAAATGTATAAAAATTGCATGACTTGATGTATGGAATTGTATGATAATGATTTTTATTGTATGGAATTGTGTGATAAGCAGTTTCGGTGTATGGAGGCCAACCCGGGGGGTTAGTGACTCGTATAGCAGCAAATAACTCCAGCTGTTTAGCGTTTTCTCAAGTTTTAAATTTCACAACTTTATTTCCTTTTTTATCATTTAGAAACGTTCTCGTCCCCCAATTATGTTAACATCCGTAGCTCAAATTGAAGAACTAAAAACTCATCTTTCCTCCGGTGGCTTTTTAAGAGTTTTTTCATGAATCATTTGAAAAAATTTAACTGAATTTATATCGCCAATTTTTGCAAGCATTAGCTAGTTGCTTCAATAAGGCGCTCACTAGTAATTTTTGCCTAACTGAGCATTCAGAGAAAATGCATGCTATATTAGTGAACAAAATTACGTAACAAATTTATTCTTTTATTGTTAATGTCAAATTGTTGACTATATCTTTTTCGGTCATCGAAACTGAACGAAGTTAATTAAACTAAAACTGCCAAATTCGACATCGGATTTCAGTTTTTCACTGCTTTCAACACCTAAAAAACACTTCCAAAAAATTTATTAAGCTATAAGCTGTAGTTTTTGACGGATTAAATTGTTCAAGGTCACCGAAATTGCCTCAACAATTTGGCATTTACTATACATGGGCAAGGTAGTTATCACACATGCTAAATTCTTTTAATTGTTTCATCGAATTCCAATCAGAAATAGCATAGGAAAACAAACGTACAAAATTGATAATTATTCATTATTTTTGTAAGTTTTTTTTTCTTATCTCAATTCTTATTCGTTAATATAGTGTTTTTTGACTTACTAACGAGTACGAATATAGACTTACAGATCGTTGTCCAATTGGGAGCTACTCTTATGCGCGAAGGACCTAGCACGCGAAAGTTCTCAGCCAATCAAAGTCCTTCAAACTGTCTAAAACTGACTGCTTTTATCGTTGATTCGCTTCAAAACTTAAAAAAAATGAATTCTGATTAACTGACAAAAATTTCGAGGAATTGGTTTTGTGCGCAAATTATGTTTAACCAGATTTCCAGTACAGTTCGTGCAATTTCAACTTCTCAAAGACAGTTTTTGCAAATCTGAGTTTGTTTATCTGATTTCGGGTTGCTTTCTCTGCAGACTTCTAATAGTGGTGTGTGGTTTCGCTTCGGGTCTGTCGTATATCTGTCAAAGTTGGCGCTATAATTTCAAAAAAAAACAATCTTTATCACAACCCAACGGCCGTAACAAGTTACAACCCAAAAAATACTAGACTAAGTTCTAAACAGGAAAATAGTAAATTATTTTGAACTAAATTGAAGTCCGCTAGCCTATGGGGTATCAGTCGGCCTTATTCTCTTACTGCAGAACTTTTTGTATTGAATTGGGTAATTATCAGAAATTGAAAAAAACTCTTTGTCAAACTTTCAATGTGACCATTGATTTAAAATATTTAAGGCTTATTTAAAACTGCAAACAATCTTCATTTCAATGAAAATGGGTAGATAAAAAACTTATCGGAAGTTTATCTTGAAAACGAGCGACCAAACAGGATGCATCAAGTCATTAATTCCAGCCTTCAAAGTTGTTCATTAATTTTTCCAATTTATACTGGTACGTTTTCATGCGAATGTGCTCGCAAATGATTCTCACATTTTTCATCAATTGGACATTTCAGGAAAAAAAAAATTTTGGTCGTGAAGTCTTGTGCATCATTTATGCAACTCTCTTGGTTACTCCTTGAACCATTTTGTCTGACTAGAAGTGTTAGAAGGTATTCATGTTCGATTCTACGCGAGATCTGATTTGCATTTGCCAGTCTGCTCAACCTTGAATTTTCTTCGAGGGCCTGGAAACTCCTCTGAGTAGCTTCTAAACACTTTGAAGCCTGACGATCCCATCAATAAATGTCTCGGTGTAATCCTTTTGAAACTCACGATTTCATCCTAAAATAAGGTGAGAAGTGGTTGACGTTGGGGGGCCAAAGAAAATAGACGACCAGGATAATAGACGCGAGGAAACTAAATGGAGCTAGAGGTCAATGTAAAATTACAAATATGGAAAATTAGACGTAACTTTATTGTTATGTCCGAAATTTGTTTACTGACTACAAATAACTTTCGTCAACTACAATTAACTTTCGTTCGAGCTTTCTTAAATTCAAATCAACTTTTCACATGCCGCAATTTTCACGTGTCGCAATTGTATAATTTATGCATTTCAAAATAATTTCTGATATGTAGTGGGATTATCAACTATTTCCTAATCAAGACTACCTGTATAAAATCGATTCTCGTTCAAGAAATGATTGCTGATAGATGAGTTCTATACTTACATACTTTTTCATGTTTTTCTGTGTTTAATTGATTTTTATCCAAATTTTTCGCTGTGCGTACAAGCCGTTTTTCACTAAGTGCGAACCATTTTGCGTAAAATCAGCTCGAATGTTGAATTACTATTGCTCGAATCGTTTGCTACGTGAAGGAAAAAGGTTTTCTTGAAAAAAATACTGTTCAAAACAAGGATCATTTTGAACTTAAAGTTTGCGCCATAAAATTTGATGGTAGAAGTAGAAAAACCATTGTTATCATCCTGTCATCAAACAAAATGTTATTGCCCTCTCCCAAAGTGGAAAAGAACTTCAACTGCTTCAAATGGTTTTTTACTCACAGTCAGTGTACTTTACATGATGATTTGATCGATAACAAAAGCGTGAAGCTATACAACTAAAAAACTAAGTGTCGGACTATTTATTTTTTGTAGTCGTATAATAGTTAAGTAATCTTTTTAGCCAAAACGTCTTGGGACATTTAAAGAGCAGACAAAATGCACAAGTACTGATGATAGCTTTTTGATAGCGGTGTTTGCACGCCAAAACTTTGATTGCGATTTCCTCAATTTCACTAAATGCTAATTTCTAATTGAAAAGATAGCCTTTTTTTAACTCTCAGCAATTTTTCAGTTGGATCAAATCTTGCTTTTAGTTGCACAACCAGAAAACAAGTTCAACAAAATTCAGGCGATGTTTCGCACTGAAAATCACTTTAACCAAAATTTTGTATCAAGGATTGACAGATCAAAATTGATGCTGCCATTTTTTTAAACCCCTTTGAATAAGAAAAAAAAAGGCAAACTGGTATTAGTCTAAAATGTTTCGTAGAAATTCAAACAATATATTAAAAACTCAGCTGAAACTTCAAAAATACAGTAATTGCTTCTACACACCTCGAAGGTGAGGTACAATTGCTTGGTTGAATCTCCATTTGATGAAGCAGTTCGCCATTGTTTCTGCTAAGTTTGGTAACCATTGTTCCAGGTATTTTAAGTAAATTATTAGTTCGAACGAAACTAGTTCTGTTATCGCTCATGATGCGATCAGGTTACCTCTTTGCATTAAGTCTAAACAAGCAATTTTTAATTGCTTCCGTTGACAATTCAAGTGGCACTTTGCAATCAACCACTCTCGCTGTGAGACAAACGTCTGAGATTGCCAGCTTTTCTCAATTTATAACCGGTCTGTCAAAGTATCGGTAATAGGGATTTAGCAGACCGGTTTTTTAGCAGACATTTTTTTTAGCAGACTCAGATCAATTAGCAAGTGAAATCGCTAACTTCGAATGCCGCATTGGCAATTTGAGACCACGTGGTCCGCTCCGCTTGCATTCGCCACGAATGGTTTTCTGCTCGTAATTCTTTATTCTTTGTTTTCCCACGGTTAATTCAGTCTACTGTGTTTTTGAAGTTGATAGTTTTTTTTGCAAAAACTGAGAGAATTGAGGACGCTTGGCCCAAGAAATAGAATTTTTTGAATCTTTCAATCAATCATGAATCACTTTATTACGTTGGTCTGCTGAAAATTATTAGTTCGAACGAAACTATTTCTGTTATCGCTCATGATGTGATCAGGTTACCTCTTTGCATTAAGTCTAAACAAGCAATTTTTAATTGCTTCCGTTGAC